ATTTAAAGCTCAATACTTTGAATATTATCAGAAAAGTCTTTATTTTCAACATAAAGCATTATTATTTATTTCACAGATCTCCAAAAAATATTGAAATTTCAAAATGTCACAAAAAGGTGTTGCACTCCTGACAATTTTAGCATCATTATTGGGCATAACAATTTTGTTAATTGAGATATCAATAAGATATTTGGCAGGTATTTAGACACTATCTAAAGACATATGCTGAGACATAGAAATCTATTCTCATTGCCTGTATTTTTAGTGTGGGTTGATAAATATGCGTTTGGTCATTTTTTTAAATTCACCCATATGTTCCTTGAAACACTCTGGATATTGTTTTCATTATTGGTCATTTGGATCTTTTAAAAGTTCTAGAATATCAACCGACCTCTGTATGTTATATGCCGATGCTATCATAATTGATACTTCCCTGATTATTTATTGTGACTCGTGAATGAGTAATTAATTCTGATAAAGACAGGGTTCAGATATAAAATGTACTTTTAAAATTCTGAAGAAAATACCTGCACGGTCTAGTTTATGTGATTTGTGATAACAGATTAGGAAATGAACCTAGGTACAAAATTGCATCAGTAAAATAAAAGAATTCGTGTCATTGCCTCAGAGATAGTCGTACTAAGTGTCACAGCGGCAACGTGTGATTGATAATCGATTTTGATATTGGTTCAAACAATGGTAAGACCGAGAGCTAATTAAAGAAAAGTTCCCTTTCTTTCCTATCAGATTATTTAGTTAAATATAATTATGTAATTAAAGTAATTAAATCATTTCCTGTTTTATTTTTCGAGCATCAATCTTGTGTTTTGGATTTTGTAAGTTCAATCTGTAGCTGACTGGTTGAATGCGTTAATTTAAATTTTAGGAAGAACTATTATTTTATTATTTATAACATTTTGTTTTAAATATTATGTTCAAACTTGAATATGTTTGACTTATCTTTAAAAAAACTATAATCACAAAGAAAAGATTTTATCTTCACATTTTATTAAGCAATGTGTTGAGAAAATAGCAAATAGAAATTATAGCAACGTCTACATATTCAAAATCTTTTAAGCACATATTCTTTTATAAACAAAATAAATACATATTAACATTGGCTTTCAAAGATTTCCTTTAAAAATAGAAACTATAAAAACAGCTTTTAACATTATTGAAAATAGCTGACGTTATTATACCTCAAACTTCCTAAGAACCAAGGTAGAATTTTGCACTTTTGTGAACAATTTTTAAAAATACATTTTTGTTATTTTTATTATATATGAAATAATTTTTCAAAATTAAAAAAAAAATCATTCGAGCAATTATTTAAATAATTAAAGCTTTTAATGCCTTTCAAGACATGTATGCACAGAAGCCCTGTCAAAGAATATTCAGCGACTGGAAGCTTATGGTGATGAATACTTCATACAACTGTTTCAAATGAAAAAAAAGGTGCAGATAACGACCTGTGATCGTTCTCATAAATCCTGTTAACAACACGAAACACAAAACAACCAACAGGCACCAAGCTCTTGAAATACGAGTAGTGGATAGGAGGAGTGTACATCACCCGAAAACCCCCGCCGTGAGCCCCCTGTATAGATCAGCTGAACGTAGTAATCCTTAGTCAAAATTAGAATTAAAAAAAAAAATTAGCATAACAACCGGTATAAGTCAAAATACTGACCCTAGGATAGCTTGTATTTCCAAACAAAATCATAATAAAGACAAAGAATTTACAAAATGTTGACTTTAAACCAGATTGTTGAAAGCTCTGTAATATCAACTTATTTCTCAGTAAATCAAAATTGACCGTACTAGGAACATATTCTTGTGTATCGAATCAATTGGTAGACGTAAACACGATATGCAGGTGATGGAAAAAATGACTACACAAATATTAGAACTGACAATGAAAAAGTTGAAGTCATCCTGTGTGTCAAGTCGTTTAGTTGTTAGTTTGCCATTAACATCTATAATCAGCAAAAACATCCAAATATGTAAGAAATGTGGCAGAATTTAATGTATCGTTTTTACGAGTTTACTAGAATACATGTATAACTAGTCGATACTAGTATATAAATGAATGCTATTATTGTTAATTGATCAAATGTCGTCGACTAAATGTCGAATTGAAGGCCATAAAAAGATTTTTTCTTCTCATGTAGAAGTTTTTGAATAAATTCTGCTTCATCAGAGTTCCATTTTTATTAAGAAGCAGTTGTCTATTTAATGTCAAAAACAAAACAAAACAAAACAAAAACAAAAACAAACAAACAAACAAACAAAAAAAAAAACCCTGTTTTTAATTTGTTGCATGGAATTGTTGTGTTGAAAAGTCATGAGTCTTTATTTTATTGATTTTTGAAAAAATAAATCTGATTCCAAATTTTCTAAAAGTTGAGATTTTAAGAATCCATATTTGATCCACACCATGCACTTCTTGAATATGTTAGCTGTAGCATAGTATGTCTGAAGTTTCTCCTTCAAGAAGTTGATATTTTGGTGAGGAGTAGAGATAGGGGCTTGATAATAAAAGCAGTTACTAGACACTGCAGTGTATCTTTGTAAGGATTTTATGAAGATCCAAAATATTAGGTACTGTAAATCAAGTTCAAAAACTGAACCGCGAATTTGAAGAATTTCGTCCTTGAAAGGAAACAGTGAGTACGAGTTAGATTTCCAGATGAAACGATTTGTTGCTTAAATGTTTTTTTTTTTCTCTATTCTCTACAAACATCGCAAAATAAAATATTTTAAAACCGTGGCAAGATGTATAATCATTTTGCGATTCTAAAAATACATAAGACAGAAAAATGCTAATTTCACAGGATAAAAGTTTGACACATTGGATACCAAGAGTATGTTTTTCTTTTTCATATGTTCGGCCTGAATTGGAAGAGCCAATCATGTGGAAAAGTGGCCTTTCGTGCCTAAAGAAGAACTAAACATACTGAAATTCAAGTATATACATATTTCAACTGATAAAACTGCAATGCGAATTATTCTTAATCTTTCCTTCGTTTTGAAATAATGATAATGTTAATTGAATATCTCATTATTTTCCCCCAAAATACGTTTTATTATAGAAGTATTTATGATCGACACAGATAAAACTTGTGTTTTTTGTACAAAGTTCAATACTCTTCTGACGTTGATATTTTTGTTCACATTTCAACCTACATTTAATATTATCACAAACATGTCACAAAGCATGTGCGAGCTGTTTTTAAATTTATAACTAACGTCATTTTAAACAAACAATCACTATGAATCTAATATAGTCACTGAGGTCAAGGTCGAACTTTGTTCTCATTTAGATAAAGGTTGCACTCCCTTACCTTGAATCAAGATAAATCAATGCCCCCTCTTCATAACTAGTACAGTGCATTTAAATTCCAATTTGAGCAAATGTTGTTTTAAATTTTTTTTTAAATATTGATCTCAACAATGAAATTAATACATAATGAATTAATAAAATGCGTAGAATTCACAAGAAACTGAACTTTGCTACTCTAAGATAAGCATGGTATAAAATTCTGTAATATCTTCTAGATATTTATTTGAAATAGTTATTTAATTGTGATAAAACCTAGAGGATAATCTCTTTTCAATAACGGATCACAATAATTCGTTTGTTTTTAAAGCATATAAAACAAAAAAACATCAATTTAGATGCAAAGAACCTTACTAAACAAGATGTCGTAATTGACAAAGAGAGGCCCAAGGGCCATAACACTCATACGAATCAACTTGGCCCTGTTCTTTTTCAGATGGATTCTTTTTAGATTAGGAAGCTTCCTAGAAAAATGTTGATTCAATATTTGACCTTACACTAGCGCCAAGGGATCATAACTTGACTGACTGAATCCTCAAAACATAGGACTCAATATCAAGATGACTAACTTGGCCTTTCTCTTTGATTTTTTAATCAATTTCTTTCCTGTAAATTAAACATGCATAATTTAAAATTTGAATCTAAGTTTTAGCCCCAACAAAACCCCAGTGTCTAAAATTTAAATAAACAAAACAAATTTTAACACAACTTGAGAATTTTTGGTTTTTAATTTGTTTTAGAGTAACACTGCAACTCTTGATTTTTTTCCTCATGGAAAATTATGAATCGAATCCATATTTTAGCCGAGTGGTCAATATTTTAATTTTGATTTCCAATATTTTCCCGACCCCAACCCACGGCTGCGATTTAAACAAACTTAAATTTGAACAATTTAAGAAGTTTTGCATATTAATGTGACTAGTCATGGCCCTGCTGTTCTACGGAGGATTATTTAAAAGATGTTCCTATATTTCTATGTAAAACGTTAAGTCTCTTTTGTGGCAACGCCCTTCTCCGGGTCATGAATTGAACAAAGTTAAAACTGCACTACCTGCGGATGCTTGCCAGTTTACGTTAGCAATCGACGCCCTGCTGTTCTTGATGATTTATAAAGGTTTTTTAATACTCTTTTGTTAAATTTTCATCCCCTCTTGCTGCTCACCCTACCCCTAAGGACCATTTTAAAGTGGATGTCGCCTTTCATTTGAACAATTATTAAATCTCTCGGTTTAAATTAACCCAGTGGTTCTGGAGAAGAAGTTTGCAGACAGCACCCGAAACACAGCACATGGCAGAGAGACGGACACTCTTTCATCAGAAAAGCTCATTTAATCCTTTGGCTCAGGTGAGCTAAAAGGTAGTCGATTGATGCTAATATCTAGGAGAGAAAGAGATATCTCCTTTGTCCCAACGAACTTATATTAGTAAATATGTGTCATGAATCTGATTTAATCATTTGGAGAGCAGATTATAGGACTGTACTCTAAAAGTGCAGTTCACATCCAAAAAGACATCCGGTAGAAGACCTTCGTTTTTCATTCATCCCAAGGATGATATTTTATCTTGTTTGTTAGCAAGTCACGTAGTATTGCAATCATTTAAAAGGGGGGTCACTTGGTAATTTGTTCTGTTCTTTGAAATATTTTACACAAGTAGAACGATGGCTCTCAATACTCTTTATGACAAAAGAAAGCAAAAAAATGTTGTTGAAGTCGTGTTTCATGGAATACCATATGCAGAATTTGATAGATCTGGTATGTATACATTACCTTATTTAATATAGAAATCCTTTAAAAAGTAAGAATATTTTTTTTAAAAAATGAATTATAAATAAATTATATTTTTATATTATCATTTAAAACATTCAGATGCAAACAGTAAACATTTTCAAATAATTTACAGAAAAACACTTCAACCCTAGTATATGCAATCATTCAAAGTTCCCTTTGAATGACTTTGCCAATCTTATAAGCACAAACCCTGGCATATAATGCTAGTATTTATTACAGGTCACTGGAGTACTTGGTCCTTAGTGAGGATGTTTGAAGGTTCTTTACTGCTATCAGCTTCGTTATCGCCTTGTGTCGAGACCGTCACTTCTCATGAAGAGGAGTACATTCTTCTGCGCCAACACTGTAAAATCAGTCCGCGGTACTACCAAGACATAACCATTCAATCCGACTTCAACCCCAGGATTGTGTTTGACTGTCAAGAAGTTGGACGGACGTCGTTAAATATCAAAGTAAGGATGTGCAATCAGCACACAGATTATATCTATGCTACAAATATGAGGAAGATGGTCAACTTCAACAAACGAACAAAGAAAGCAGTTCCAAATAATCCTTTTTATCTTGAACAAGCAGAGAGACTTAATAGTATACGACCAAAATACCGATGGCTTCCGTTTCCTGATAATATTCCTTCTAAAGTGTTCAGAATGAAAGTGCGTCCTCTTCACAGCGATACGGACTATATGAACCATGTTAATAACTCTTCATATGTACGATTCTGTTTAGACTGTTGTGCATGTGCTGCAGAAGCGAAATTTTACAATCATTTTGAGGCTGACTTTCATTACCCTGTTTTAGAAATGGACATTCAGTATTTAGGTGAAAGCTTTGCAAACGATACATTAGATATCTCAACATGGCAAAGTGAAACGGACATCCGTGATTTATATTTTGTTATAACTCATAAACACAAAGTGATAACAAAAACTTTCCTTAGAGTCGGCCTTACAAAGCTTAGGAAAAGTACTTATGCTGATTCAAAATTGTAGTTAGAAAAACAATACGTGTATGTCAATATTTTGTTGCAAAGGATTTTTCAATCGCCAAAGTATTTTAGCAGAACAATTAAGAATCATCATATCAATTAAGAATTGGTGGATCAAATTTTTTATTTTGATATCCTTCATATACTCGTCGCAATTTGATATTAAAAAATCAAAATTTTCGATTTCTTTTAAAATTTTAATGTAAATTTTCTGTGTTTCTCATGCAGATTCATATCATGCCACGTCTCTAAATAAATATCGATTATCCCCTTTACCCTCTATTTTATGACTGAAAATGACTTCGTTGTGAAATTTTCTACACATTTTCCAATGTCCCATCACACATGTACCTAGATACGTGTTGTACTGTACCAAATCTTAGCCAAGGGGGGTGTTCAATTTCAGATAACGAAGGTTTAAAAGACACATTGGCTGACCAAGTAAACGACTGATGAATGGCAAGCTGAAGTTGTTGATTGCGTTGTGCATATAAGAATATAAAGTCTCAACTCTCTTTGTTGGCCTCAGGGAATGGTCTCTTTGGGGTGAATGGGTATTAATACACATGTATACTAACATTCATGCATAACATTTTATTGCCCCCCGCTTTCGCGGAGGGGAGGGGACATTAAATCTCATTCGTCTGTTTGTCCGTCTGTCAGTCTGTCTGTCACAAAAACATAAAAATGTATATGGGTAAATATAGGCCACATTTGAATCGGGCTATAATTTGAACTAAAAAAATGGCGGATTGGACAATTGGACGCTTGAGTATGAATTGACAAAGATCGTCTCGGTGTCAAAGCCGCTAAAATATGAAGCCCGCTTTTTAAAGTACACATACAGTATAAGCCCACCCCACCCCCTTTTGTAAAGACTTGATAAATAACAATTTCATCAATTGACGTTTATTTTGATACCTTTTATACTATATTATAGATACTGTACTTCGAGCGCTCTTATTCCATTTCCATCAAGGATAAAAGAACTGAATATGCAAATTTTACTGATAAATTGTCAGCATATTTTTTTGTAAAAATTAGCTTTTAACACCCCATTTATAGGCGGCCTAGTATTTGATACAAAAGACTGTATTAAAAACAACAAAAATTTAAAAAAAAAAAACAAAAAAAAAAAAAACACTAAAATGTATTGATTAAAGCACAAATTTTTGACAGCAATAGTTATATTTGAACAGTGCCATAGTCATTAATTGACATTTTCTCTTTACATGTAAGCAAGTTTATTACAAAATACAAACTGTACTTCGGATTCGTTGGCATGGTGCTCACAGTGGCGAATATGCACCATTTTACTGATTTATTAGCACAACCTACCAATAATCTTTCGATAGATAGATATATTCACAACTTTTAGTGCTATCAATTGCTCCATCATTATTTCCATGCCCATTCACACCAAAGGTTTTTTTTTTATTAATATTCATGTAGTGATAATCCCCTTGTTTTTCTTTTTTACGTCGGGTTCGATGCCATATGATGTTCTAGAAATCTTCGTCAAGATTAAGAACTACGAAAACGATTTGCACATTTTGCTTTTTTAATCACAACTTATTTCTTTTATATCACTTAAATCGAGTTTTGATTGATAAATTCAGTGATGACGTATTATGAAATAAATAAACAATTGCTTGTCGTCAGTTTCATTAAAAATTGCCAGTAACTTAGATCCGCAAATCGTAACCACCACTGTACTCTCTCTTTTTTTTTTTTTTTTTTTTTTTTTTTTTTTTTTTTTGCTATTTCAGGGCTGTTTATCGAAAATGAAAATAGACTTTTAATTAAACTAGTGCTAATTGTAACGGGAACCGTTACAGATGTTCCCCAAACGGCTCCCCAATCCCTTATGATGCCCCATTAATTCCCTACAAACTTCAATAAATTAGACAATACTTTTGTAATATAGATGGACACTTTATTTTTAAGGGAATTTCATTGGAAAACTACTCCGATATAGCCATATGGATATTAACCAATCAAATTTCAGCGCATGTGCTTGCACATTTTTTGTACATTTTTCACATTAATTTTCTTATAGTGTCTCACAATACATACATTTGTGTTAAATATTAAAAAATCTCATTGAAAAATAAGAGAGATGTAACCCTTTAAGTATTAGCCAATCAGAATTCAGCATACGCGCATGCATGGCCTTGCATTCAATTTTGATAGTATCATAATGTAGGAGCTCTATGTGCCTATCCATGTCGTAAATTTCATCCTGTTTTGTTGAAAACCAAGGGAGTTATAGACATTTAAAGTTTCAACCAATCAGATTGCAGCACACCTGCATGCGCATGTTTTCAAGGAATTTCCTGTATAACATGTTGTAGCACCTTATAATATATACTTATATTCTAAATTTCAAAGAATTTCGTCAAAAAACAAGGAAATTATTGAGATTTTTGTATCAACCAATCAGAGAAGAGCGCACGTGCATGCGCGTGAGTTCACGCTAATTTGACCATGTTATCTTGTCTAGACTACTAATATATCTTTATATTTTGAGTTTCAAAGCAATTCATCAAGAAATATAAAAGTTACGGCTTCATCAAGTATATCAGTCATTTCACTCATTGCACGCGCGCGCACGTGCATGCATGTGCGCGCAAAATGACCTTCGTTCCGAACACCTATACAACATGCCTATTAACCCTAAAAAGGTTTCATGTCAATCGGATGAGTGGTTCTATGAGAACACTCCCGGACAAAAAAAGTACCGGAGAAGAAAGTAGGAAAAAATAATAATAATAATAATAACTAGAAACTCGTTGCCATGGCAACAAGAAGGTCTTCCGTCCCTTCTCTGTCATCAGACGTCATAGGAGAATTCATTCCTCACTTAAAACACACTATGTATTACCTTTGTGCAATCCTTTTAACTCCTTCGTATAAAGAATATATTAAAATTTAAAAAGTGTGAAAATATCCAAAATTCAAACAGCAATAAATACCAGACAACACTTTAAAAATAAAATCGAAAATTTAAGCTAAAAAAAAGTGATGAAAAATTTCAGACATTCTTGAGATTGAATCCGACTCGCCTGCGTGAGAGGCACGACGCTAATCACTATGCTATTGGGGACGCACGCTTTGAGAGGAAAAGTGACTAATATCTAGAATAAGGATTTATTAATTTTGAAATAAAGTATATATTTAGCATTCAGGTAAGACTTTCTAATATCCTTACTGAAATCATTAAAAAATATTGAAAAGAAAAAAAAATTGAAAACCGATTCTCGAAATTCGCTTCAGATGGTGACCGGAAGCATCGACGACGCATTAAAAATTAACTAAACATTTACAAGTCATCGTCTAAGATCTCTGATATGTCTTACATTCACATCTTTAGCCGTTCTGGAGGAGTTTGGAAGACAAAAATCCATTTTAAAATCAGGAAATTGTCCATATCTTGGAACAGGAAGTAAATTTTCCAAAATTTCTTTGTGATAAACAAATTTATCATTGTCCATTACCTATGAAAATTTCACTGAAATCCATTTTTCGAGAAATCGCCTACACAAATATGTGGGAATAAAAAGAATAATAAAGAGATAAATTGATTTTAAATCAAATTATTTATTTTTTCTCAAATGAAAGTCTCTATTATCAATACTCATATCATTAAAAAAAATTGGAAAAAACAAAAAGTTTGAAAAAATTGACTTTTGAAGTTTGCTTCCGGTGGCGACCGGAAGTAATGACGACGCCAAAAAAATGACTTTGAACATCTACAACTCATGCTCTATCATCTTTGACATGTCTCAAGTTCATATCTTTAGCCATTTTGGAGGAGTTGCAAAAACAAAAATCCTCTTTAAAATCAGGAAATTGTCTATAACCTGGAACCTGAACGGAATTTTCCAAATTCTTTGTGATGAACAAAGTTCATATCATTGCCCATTACCTCTTAAAGTTTCATTTAAATCCAAAAAAAAAAAAATACTTTTTGAGAAATCGCTTGCACGAATTTTTTTTTTTTTTGGGGGGGGGGGGGATAATACCTGGAATATGGATAAATTAAGTTTAAACCAAATTATATATTTAGATTTCAAATGAAAGTCTCTATTATCCCTACTAATATCATTAAAAGAATTGGGAAAAAAAAGTTGGAAAAATTGACTTTTGAAATTCGCTTCCGGTGGCGACCGGAAGTTATGACGATGCCAAGAAAAAAAGACTTTGAAATCTACATCTCATGCTCCATTATCTTTGACATGTCTCCAGTTCATTTCTTTAGCTGTTCTGGAGGAGTTGTGAAAACAAAAATCCATTTTAAAATCAGGAAATTGGCCATAACATGGAACCGGAAAGGAATTTTCTTAATTTTCTTTGTGATCAACAAAGATAATTCCATTGCCCATTACCTCTTAAAGTTTCACTGAAATCCAATAAATACTGTTTGAGAAATCGCCTGCACAATTTTTTTTTTGGGCGGGGGGGGGGGGTAATAACTGGAATATGGATAAATTAATTTTAAACCAAATGATATATTTAGTTTTCAAATGAAAGTCTCTATTATCCCTACTAATATCATTAAAAGTATTGGTAAAACCAAAAAGTTGGAAAAATTGACTTTTGAAATTCGCTTTCGGTGGCGACCGGAAGTAATGACGACACCAAATAAAATAACGTTGCAGATCTTCTACTCATGCTTTATCATCTTTGACATGTCTCCAGTTCATATCTTTAGCCGTTCTGGAGGAGATGCAAAGACAACAATCCATTTTAAAATCAGGAAATTGGCAATTTCATGGAACCGGAAGGGAATTTTCCAAATTTTCTTTGTGATGAACAAAGTTCATATCATTGTCCATTACCTCTGAAGGATTCACTGAAATCCAATAAATACTGTTTGAGAAATCGCCTGCACAATTTTGGGGGGTGCCGAATATAATTAATGAAATATGGATAAATTAATTTCAAACCAAATTATATATTTAGTTTTTAAATGAAAATCTCTAATATCCCTATTAATATCATGAA